CGCGCAACGCTGCATATACAGTGGAGACTTGCGATGAGAAGCCTTGCTAGTTGTGATAATTTGTGGGGGTGCGTTCGTCGTCGGCCATTGAGGGCCCTCGCGCGTCGCGAAGCTTCAGCGGGCCCCTGGGGGCATCGGGGGGAGAGACATTACTGCGCAGCATCAGCTGGCAAGCTGGTTTCTTCTGATGTGCCTAGTGTGTGTGTGTGTGTCTCTCTCTCTCTCTCTCTTTCTTTCTTTCTCTCTCTCTCTCTCTCTGTATATATATATATATATATATATATGTGTGTACATATATACATATATATGCATATATATATACACACACGCAAGCGCGCTCTTTTTCGCTCGCGCAAGTGCGAAGGCTTCCTGGAGCGGTGATTGCCCGTTGGACCTGCCACAGGCTCAGCACATGGAAGAGCTGGAATGGCGACGCCCCCGCGGCCCTGCCGCAGGCTCGGGGCCTGGGGGGGCGGGAAGCAGAGCCGTGAGAACTAGCCCCGTCGCAGAAGGACTGATCCGCGGGCGGCGAGACAGTGGCCACACGCAGCGGAACAACGACGAGCACGGCGCAGAAGCCACGCGCCAACCCTAGAGCGCCACCGCCGTCGCTGATTCGGGTTCCCGACAGGGCGCGCGGGGGGGGGGAAGTCCGCAATGGCACCCCTTCGGGGGGGGGGGGGGGGCAATGTAATTGAGGCGGCGCGTGGATATGACTGCGAAGCAGAAGCAGAGAACTCACGGGGGAAGAGGGGCGACGAGGAGGGGCAACATGGGCTGTCGCTCTACGCGCGCAATGGGTCCATTGCAGCGGTGGCGACCGCGTCTCCGGACCAATCCCCACTGCCCTGGTGCATCTGCTCCATGGTAGCGCGCCAAAGGTTTTCAATTGCCCTTATCTGACAGGAAACCGATTTTCTCGTGGCGCTGCGTCTGCCCCTGGCGCAGTGCCTCGCTCGGACGATCCACCCTCGCTCAGACGACTGCGAACGCCCCGGTATTGCTCGAGAGCAGCGTGTTTGGAAGCTGTCCAGCCTTTGCCAGCCTGCTTGAAATCCAGATTGTATAATTGTTCTGGCACAACTATAGCATTACTTAGCCGAGCTTTTCCTGATTCTGACATGCCCGCATGCTCCAGCACTTGGCCAGCGTTCTGGAGATCGCCCGCGCCTCGCCCGGCCGCCTCGCGTTTGCCGGTTTGCGTTCGGCGCTGAAGCAGAAGCTGCGGGGGCATAAGCCAAAGACAAAGAGAACGAGAGAAGGGGCAAGCCACCTCGGGCCACGCCCCAGGGCAGGGCCACCACGGCCCCCGCCCGCCCGGGGGGGCCCAGCGGGGAAAAGGGCCAGGGCCGCAGAACCCCCGCAGGGCCACGCACCGGGGGCGGAAAGAGTGCGACAGCGCACATCTCGCCAGAAGAGACGCCCTTCCGGGTTCGCGCCGCAGTGCCCCCCTGGGCCCATGGGGAAGCCCGCGTACTCACAAGAAAACTACCCTTTAGGGTCAGCGCCGAAGCGCCCCCTGGGGCCCACGGAGGAAGCCCGAAGCAAACGCGACGACCCCCCGGCGCCAACCCCAACGGACGACCGCCGCAAATGGAAGCCCTACCTGGCGAGATGCGCAACGGCTGCCTCAGGGCCCCCCTATGGACGTGGCGATATTATCTATCCGAAGGTCGCCCCGAGCCCGGCTGTTCGAAAACGAGCAGCTGCGCGACCGCGCCGACAGCCTCGACAGCGCCCATGGCCCGCGGGCGCAAGGACCCGCGGGCCTTCCGCTGGAGGGCCTGCGCGAGGTAGAAGAAAGCAAACCCCGTGCGAACATCTCCATCCTCGGCTGGCTTCGACGACGACGCGGCCCGCTCGGCCTTCGCCGGCGCCGTCGGGTCGCCCGAACCCTCGAACATCGCGAAATGTCTGAAGGCGCCCTCCTGTTCCTTCTGCTAGACCGCGCGCTCCTCGCAGAGAGTCGCCGCGCCACCCATCGACATCCTCGCGCCGTGCTCGATATCGTCCTTGTCGTCGCCGTCGAACTTGTCCCGCGGCTTCGACTCCTGCAGGGCGCCCTCGGCCATCGCGACGATGCCCCCGAGCTCGCGCTGCTTGCCGTCGAGCGTGGGGCTCTTTGAGGTTCTCGATCTTCTCCTTGTCGCCGTCCGCGAAGTGCGGCTCCTTGGGCTTCCTGCGCTTCGCGGGCGCCTCGATCTCCACCTTCATCCTGACGGGGCGTTGATGCCATCCTGCGTCGCCTCCCCGATCTCCGCCTTCATCGCCCGCGCGACCCCGCACCCCTGCTGCTCGCCCTCGAACTCGTGGGGCTCTGCCAGGTTCGCGATGTTCTCCTCGCCGCCATCCCCGAAGCGCGGCCGCTTGAGCTTCTTGCGCGTCTTGGGCGGTTCGCTCTTCACTTCGTCGTGATGGGCTTGTTCCCAGATCTCGGCCTTCACCGTCATCCTGGCGGGGCCGTCGATGCCTCCCTGCGCCCCCCCCCCCCCACTCTCAGCCATGAGCGCCATCGCGAGCTGGGCCTTAAGCTGCGCCGCCTCGCCCGCGGGGGTCGCCGGCACCTTCGCCAGCTTCGCGCACTTGCCGTCGGACTCCTGCTCTGCCTTGTCGCCCAGCACCTGCTTCGTGATCTCGGCGGGCGGCCTGTCCTCTGTCTCCGAGGCCGATCCGCTCTCCGTGGGCTCCTCGGCGGCGCCGTCCTTCGCACTGGACTTCTCCGCCGCGCCCTGCGCGCGCTGGCGCGCCCCCCTCCGCGCGAGCGCCGCGGGTCCAAGAGGGCCTCCTCGAGCAGCTCAATCGGGGGATCAGCCTCGCCCAGGCGCCAGCGGGCGCCGACGCTGTGGCGCGAGCGCGCCTGCCCGTCGGGCCACTGCCCCCAGATGCGCTGCAGCGTCGACGGAGCCGTCGCGGCAAGGCGCGCCGCCGGCTCCTCGACGCCGCCGCCTCCGGCTCGCGCGGGCTGCGCCGAAGCCGCGACGCGCCTGCAGGCCGCAGCGACCGCCGCTGCCGCCACCTGGCGGCCGCCTCCGCCCTCGGCGGCGCCCTTGGCCGCCGCTTCGACGAGAGCTGTCTCCGCGCCGCGCCGCTGCCGCGGGGCCCGCGGGGGGCCGCGCCGCAAATCGGCTGAGCCACAATGGCCGCGGATTGCTTTCGGCGCTGCTCTGCAAGAGCCCCCCCTGATCGGCTGCTTGATGCGCGCGCGTGATTGGCTGCGACGCAGGGCCCCGCACCGCGCCGTCGTCGTTCATTTGCGGCGCCGCGGTCTTCGCCCCATCTGAGCCGAAGCCGCAATGTTTGCCCGCGCTGGCGGCGCGGCCCAGAAGAAGCTCAATCGTCGAGGAGCTTGAGCCCGCGAGCGCGGCGCCGTCCGCGCGCGGCGCGCCATTGCGTGCTGGCCCCACCGGGCCCGCGCCCAGCTCGCCGCGCAGCCCGTCGAAAAAAAACGCGCGCGCGCCGCTGCCCGAAACTGGAATCGCCTGCCGCGCCTTTCAAAAAGAAACTGCAGGTCTGCATATAGCAAGGAGGAACGCGGCATTGTTGGTCCTGGAGTACCAGACCGCGTTAGAGCTTTAATCGCCGCGTCGTGCTGTACCCCGTCTGGCGCGTTAGCCCAGCCAAGAAAGACGGCCGCCGGCCCGGGCCCAGTCGAGCATTCCGCGACGTCGGTCGCGCGCAGAGGCTCTCATCCCCGTGGTGCTTTCTTGTTTTTGAGGTGCGATGCCCACATGCGCGACGAAAACAAGCGGGCCTTACGCGAGATGACGTAGCGCCTTACGCGGTGTTTTACGCGGGCCGCCAGCGCGGCACGCTACACTGGAAACGAGGGCGCGCACGCGCGACCTTACGCGACAATGTTGGTCTCACATGATTGCCTGCACTATCTTGACCGAGCGTGAAGCGAGACCCCGCCCCAACGCTCCACCGCCGCCGCGGTCGCGCCTGCATCTGTAGGCAATCAAGGCAGTGCCTCGCCGTCCGCTCGAACGGTAGACACGGCAGGACAGGCGCCACGAAAACCGTGGCCGAGACAGAGAAGTCAGGCACCCCGCTCGAGGATGAGGAAGGGGACCAGGACGACCGATGGGACGATACGCAGACAGAGAGGAGTCGAGCGGGGAGGTGACGGCGCCGTCGAAGCTGGCGCTGCCGCCAAGAGAGCCAGGCGGAACTTCCTCCTCCTCCTCCTCCTCCTCCTCCTGCTGCATGATCCCGAGGACCTGCCTGTCAGTGACAGGCGGTGCCTTTCCAAGACCTCCCTCTCTGCCTGGAGGCTTCCTGGGTGCCTGGGGTCGTGGTGCTCTGCCGCTCCGGCACCTGCGCGGGTGGAGGGCCGCCCTCCTCGGCATCGTCGTGTCGCAGTTGCACCGCGCACGCGACGTGCTCGTGGTGCCTTCTACCGGCTGCGTGCACGGAGGGCGACACCTCTCAACTTCGATACGTCTTGTAGCGACACTCGCTCGAGCCTCAACCCGAGAGTTGACGCGCACATCAAGAGGTGCGACATTCTCACCATGCAGGGCCCAGTGGTCCCCCGCACACACGATAAACGATCACATCGAATGATATGGAGAGGACTCAGGACGGAAAGGTAGTGCAACATCCGTATCGTGTGCCGACTTTACTCTGGTCCTTCCTATTCCTCCTCCTCCTCCTCCTCCCCTCCTCCCTCTCCTCCTCCTCCTCCTCCTCATCCTCTCCTCCTCCTTCCTCCTCCTCCTCCTCCTCCTCCTCCTCTCTCCTCCTCCTCCTCCCCCTCCCCCTCCTCTGCATCCTGATCTCCTCCTCCTCCTCCTCCTCCTCCTCCTCCTCCTCCTCCTCCTCTCCTCTCCTCTCCCTCTCCTCCCCTCCCCTCCTCCATCCTGATCCTCCTCCTCATCCCCTCCGCCCTCCCTCCCTCCTCCTCCTCCTTTCCCCTTCCCTCCTTGCATCCTCATCCTCCTCCTCCTCCTCCTCCTCCTCCTCCTCCTCCTCCTCCTCCTCCTCCTGTCGTGAGAGGCCTGCTGCTGGTGGACGTGGCCGGTGGCGAACAAATCCACGCCGTACTCCACGCTGAGGCGGATCCAATCTTCCTTGCCGTGCTCTGGCGGGAAGTGGGTGATCACAACCTCTGGCTGTGCGAGAGACGAGGGGCGGTCTGCCTCCACCTCCGCCTCGAACTCCACCTCCCCCTCATCATCATCCTCATCATCCTCATCCTCATCAGCATCAGCATCAGCATCAGCATCAGCATCATCATCCGCATCATCATCATCAATCATCATCATCATCATCATCATCATCATCATCATCATCATCATCATCATCATCATCATCATCATCATCATCATCAGCATCATCATCATCCTCATCCTCATCATCATCATCATCATCATCATCAGCATCATCATCATCCTCATCCTCATCATCATCATCATCATCATCATGATCATCATCATCGTCTTCATCATCATCATCATCATCATCATCATCATCATCGTTCTCGTCCTCCTCCTCTGGTCCATCATCCTCGTCCTCGTCCTCATCCTCGTCCTCGTCCTCGTCCTCCTCGTCCTCGTCCGCCTCCTCATCATCATCCTCATCATCATCATCATCCTCAGCAGCAGCATCATCCTCATCATCCTCATCATCATCATCGTCATCATCACCATCATCATCACGATCAGCATCAGCATCATCATCATCACCAACATCATCATCACCATCCTCTGGTCCATCATCATCATCATCATCATCATCATCATCATCATCATCCTCGTCCTCGCCCTCCTCTTCCTCCAACTCATCCCGTCGCCCCTCCGTCTCCTCGTCCTGGTCCTCGTGCTGCAGCTGCCCCCCCCCAACTCAATCACCTGGAGCAACTTAGGTTTGAGATCCAAGTTTCGAAACTGTACGTATGGCTTGAACGTGACCGTGCGACACACGTGTTCATTCACGGGCGAAGAACGGTATACAAAAAACTTGTTCGCCGTCGGGGACGCCTGCCCCAAGGCGGCTGGAAAGTTTATACCCTTACGGTGGCGCCGTAGGGGTATAAACTTTTCAGCCGCCCAGGGGCAGGTGTCCCCGACGGCGAACAGTTTATGTTATACCGTTCTTCGCTCGCTGAGTTCAAGGTTATGCTGGAGGCTTGAGATCACTAGGGACAACTTCAACGCTACGAAGTTTGAAACACGTGACACATGTCGAACTCTGAAAAGACGAAGCTGAACACTGCGAGAATCTGGAAGCATGCAAGGCACGAACTATTCCACTACTGATCCACGAGTGCCGGGCTGGCGAACTAAGACCACAACGGTGCCAGAGACGAAGCTGGCCCTGGGACGGTCCATCGATCGATCTCGATCCTCGTCCCCTCTCCTCGTCCGCCTCGATCTCGATCCACCTCATCGATCCCGATACCGATGCTCCTCTCACACCTCCTCCTCCTCCTCCTCCTCCTCCTGCTCCTCCTGCTCCTCCTGCTCCTCCTGCTCCTCCTGCTCCTCCTGCTCCTGCTGCTGCTCCTCCTCCTCCTCCTCCATGTACGTATAAGAGAGCCAGTCGCCCAAATGATGGGAAAAACGAAGAGACAAAGCAAGCGTGTGCTCAATCGTGGCCGTGAACTTTGCGCGGCCAGCACGCTCTCACGCTGCCACACAAGGCAAATGGGGCATGGGTCAAAGATACCGAGGTGCGACACTCCACCACTGAACCCACTGGCACGCTGAGATTTGGTGGAATGCCATGTGCTGTCTGGGAGGATTCCGTAAATCTCCTATGGACGCCCCCCTCTCCTCCTCCTTCCCGTCCTCCTCCTC